AGTGAGAAGAATAACTAGTTTATTGTTCAGCTAGAATTCATAGCTGCACCATCAAGTTTATCATTTTCTTCAAAACAACATGGCACGTCCTGCCCTAACAACCCCCATTGCCTTCAGGGGGATTGGATGGTGTAGAATTCAGGGCAGAATTTTGCCCTCCATCAATAATTCTTAGGGGCCATCTCCAAATTCTCATATGCCTGTTAACATTCTAAGAGTCATCTATTAACTCTAGTATTTATATCACTACCTCTTCCTTCTTTTAAACAATGCCTTAATGTCTCTCAATGTATACAATATACATTTCAACATCACATATACAGAAAACAGCTATTTTTTACGTTCTGCTTCTCCAAGCAGAAGAGGCAACTTGCACATCACTCTCCAGCAAGCGTTTACCTCCTTATACACTTATTTCTATAAAGACGTATGACATTTTTAATTAGTTTCTGTAGTGGTTTAAGAACTTCTTAATGTATTATCTTCTTCAGACCAATTAATCTCTCCGTTTTTCTCTGTTCTATCCCACAATGACAAGTTCTAATGGTTCATTTGCACAAGACGTTGTATCTGGGATCTCAGGATATGTTTATTAAATCAAAGGGCAGCAAACACATGATATACTTGCTAGGATTTTGGAGCGCTCTGTGCGTTTCCTATGCCTCTCTAATCACCTGTTTGTGGTGTAGGCACAAGGATGAACGGTGTTGCCAAAGCTGAAGTGATGGACGAGTGTGTTCTTCTAAAAATCAAAGTAGCTTTGTTTAATTTTCTGGTTCTCATTAATCTTATTCTCTCTTAATTTTGAGGCTTGTTTAGCTTTTTCCTTGCTGGGCAGGTTAATTTTCATTCATCTTCTCAACAGCTGAGCGGGTGACTCTCCATCGTCTACTAGTGGATGGATGGAGCCGAGCTAAAGGATTGGTCGCTTCTTCATCCACTTCTTCACCATCTGTACTAAGCTCTTGTTTAGATTTGATCTAAACTGGTTAGAAGTTGAAACCACATGCTTAAAATCGACATCAACTGAAAACTGCTTAACTGCTGCGAGGGGAACACTCTGTTCTCACAGCACTGAACACTTTGGCCCACATTCTTAAAAGTATTTTGCTATTGCTCCACCCGCTGTTGCAAAGGGTAGCACTATATTCACAAAGGGATATAGGATCATAAATCCAACATTTTAGGCCTCTCAGACATTCAAAAAAAATCACCACTCAGTTGCTACCTAAGCCTAAGTCCCCCTCAGCACCTAGTTTCTACCAGTTTTAAATGCGTGCTCTGCCTGATTTGGAGCAAGGGCTTAAACCCAGGTTTCCCAGCTGACTGGAGAATGCCCTAACCACCAAGCTATTCTGGGGGGATCCCTCTCCTGTTGGAGTGATGCCAGTTTGTATATTTACCAGAGCAGGAATTTGAACCTGCTGCTTCTACAGCCTACTCAAGTGCCCTAACCATCAGGCTATTCCGTCTCTCTCGCGCGTCCTCCCGTCTCACGAATATTTATTTAATACCAAATGGAACAGGTACAACAGCAGAGACCGAAAGAGCCACTGCAGAATACCCAATAGCCTGGTGGTGCGGGTGCTCACTTGGGAGATGGGAGACCTTGATTCAAATCCCCAATCCAAATCAGGCAGGGGTTTGAAAACAGGTCTCCCACCTCCCAGGCAAGTGCCATAACTAGGGCCCTGCAAATCTGCAGGTATCCGCTTTACATCTGTGAACCATTTCTGCGGATAGCAGTGCGGATGCGGATACAAATTTTGCATCTGCGCAAGGCTCTGATGGCAAGATCCGGGCGAGCAGCTGTGAGAAACCGCCCACCCCCCGGACAGGGCAGGTGGAGCGTCCACCGCAGCTCCCCACAGCTGAGAATCTCTCCTGCCGGTTGGTCAGATCCTTAAGGCCCAGTTCAATGGGAGTGCCTTTGTGGATCTGGGTCCTAACCCCTGCCCTTTCCTCTGCATT